TCTAATTGGTCTGCATGATGGGAAAAAAATGTTTTTAAATTCACCCATTCTGTATTTCCTCATAACTGACTCCTAAGAATATAATCTCTCAAAGAAGACATCGTAAGTTCCAGGTCGCTTTAAGACAAATCAACCCAATATCTTCCTCTTCACACTGTGCTCCTGAATCAGTGCCCACCAAGTCTGGAGACCGAGTGCAGTCTTGAGAGCAAGCGCTTCTCTGCTCTTAGAAAGGAGCGATGGGTGTTCGGCAGTATCCTCCCCGGCTGAGCCAAAGGCAGCCTAACTTCGGGGGGTGGGGGGGAGTGCAGAGTGAGCAGCAGTCTGTACTCAGGGCAGGAGCCTGACAACCTCCGGACTCTTCAGGAGTCTGTTTCCTGACTGGGCTGTAGAACGCTGTGTGGTGAACGGCATCGGTGCGAATATTCCCCATCACGTTCCTCACTTACCAAAAGTCGCCCTGACCTGAATCATGTAAGATGAACCTGCGCACATTTAGGCTTCATATGGGGGCTTTACATACAAGAATTTATCATTTCTTCTCTCAATGTATCATTTCTTCTTATTGAGCAGCTACTTTGAGCCAGGCATCAGGCAAAACAAAACAAAAGAACAACAACAAAATGTGGGTCCTTAGCCACCACAGTCTAGAATAGCGGCTCTCAACCTTCCTAATGCTGTGACCCTTTGATACGGTTCTTCATGTTGTGGTGACCCCAACCGTAAAATTATTCTTATTGCTGCCTCATAACTGTAATCTAGCTACTGTTATGACTAATAATGTAAATGTATATATCTGTGCTTCCCCATGGTCTTTGGTGATTCCTGTGAAAGGGTCATGAGACCAAAAGGGGTCATGACCCACAGGTTGAGAGCCAATATTCTAGAACGAGCTGCAAGAACTGGTCTGTCAGTGTTGATGCAGCACGTCCCAGCATCTGTACTGGTTTCCGGGGCACATGATCTCCAATAGGGTTCAAGAGGGACAATCTTTCAGTCTCTTACACAAAGGAACACAGCTCCCAAGAACTTCCCATCCCTCGCCTCAACTCTCTGCTTCCCTAAGCAGTCTGTAGGAATGTAGGCAGGAGGGCATCTTCAACGCTGGAAAAGAGGCATGGGGAAGGGCAGGGAAGGATTCTTAAACCCGAAAGCTACTACATGCAATTAGTAAACTCCTGGGCACTTTGAGCGTATACATCTTCACCCCCCATGACAAGACCAACACAGCCTGAAAGGGTGACGCCTTGGCTTTGAACTGGTAGAGGCTAAGATGTGGAGTCAGCGGTGGTTGATAGTGTCTGTTTGGAAAATAGAAGTTACAGCCGGTATCAATGCAGTGATCATGGACCCCTGCTCTCCCATCCTGTCTACTCTCCTACCCCCCAAAGGCACTGTTTATTATACTTCTTCACACTCCCCTTTAAACCTCTAACCATATGGGGATATCCAAGCTCCCATTTGACAGATGGGAACAGCAGACCTCAAAACCAACTTGCTCAATCTTCCCCACCACGAATGAAGCCGGTGTTCAAGCTCAGAGGCCCCCCAGGCTCCAAAGTGATGTTCCTTCCACAACCCCACAGCTGTCCACTTGAAATTTTCAGTTCTTTTTTTTCTTTTTTCTGCATGTTGTTTCAACACATACATAGTAGGTAGAAAACTCTTACAGCCTGCCGGCTTTCTCCAGGGCTCTGGGAGCAACCTGCGATGACCATGAAGTAGAGGGTTTCTGCTCTTCCCAGGTCCAGGTCTCCCTGTCAGACACCTGCCCTCAAGTCCCTCTGGCATCCGGCACAGGAAATCTGCAGCTGCTTAGATGCCAGTGGGTATATTTTTAGAAACGGAGGAGGATATGTGGATGGCATGCACTTGAGGTGTTCTAGGGTCTATTAATAATATTTTTTGCTGAGGACACACAGAACGTTAACTCGACTGTCAGGATGAATTACCTCTGAAGGCGAGCTTGCCCTTCAGCACCGCCCATTCCCAGCATTGCTTCTTTTCTGAGTTTTGTTGTTGTTCTACTCCCAAGGGCTTCTCCTAGCACCTGGCACTCAAAGACAGGGGCTCTGGTAGCTAGCAGCAGACTCAGGCTGCTCTCCAAGAAGGCCAAGTGGGGAGCAAGGCTAACTCTCCTTGACCTCCGTAGGGACAGGCAGTGTTCCTTAAGATCCTCCGGCAAAAGGAGCCTCCTGTGTTACAGATCTGAACAAACATCCATGGGTGGATCCCTGCTTTTCAAAACTTCCTGGGGTTGCTGGCTTGATTCTGGGGCACACAAAATACTCTCTTACAAATGAGAGAATAGAAAGCCCAAACTGTAGGAAATTAATTTTAAGGTGTTAAAATAAGTAAAATATTAGAATATACACATATAAAGTCTCTGCCTTTAGAAACATAATGGGGACATTTATATTTTAAATTAAAAAATCTTCACTCAAATCATTTCTTTGAGTTACCAGATTAATGGTGACAACATAAAAATGCAAACATGTACTTTTGAGATCAGTTTTATGTTAAGAGTGTCACTATAACACATAAAAAGGAGCCAACCAATTCATAAAATGGCAAACTAAAAAAAAATATTAAACAAGACAATAACAGTAGGTAATAAACTAAAACATTTTCAGTTTCAAAATCTGTGGTGATGTTTCTGTCTGAGTGTCTGAATGGATTCCCCATATGAGAGAGAGAGCGAGGACATGTGACAGAAAGAAAGGGGTCTTGTGTCACCAGCTACAACCTTTCAAGTACCTTCTTAACAACAACAACAAAAAGTCATTATGTCTCCTCATGCCCCTTAGCTACACAGTCCAAAATCTAGCTCTCTGGCACGATCTAGGAATAACTGCTTATTTTAACCACACTGGAGAAAAACAGAAAACCATTTTGGTTTGGGGTAGGCTCTTCAGATAGCGGCAGGCACTAACAACCTCTTTGCCCAAGGGAATCTTTCTCTAAAGGGTTCTGAAAGCAACTCTAACATGAAACCCCGGAGAATCACTGTTGCTCTTGCTAGTGCCATTCCTGAAGGCCCATCTAGAAAGCCCTTGGTCTAAAGGACACTCCTATTACTGTGATTCTAGAGGGCAGAGTCTACTGGCCACCTCGCAAACATGAGAAGACACCAAAGAACCTCTACTGCCCCCACCTCCACTTTGTGTTTTCTGACAGCAACAGTGCCCAGCTTTCGTTTTAATGCCCACCCACATGTTCTTGGAGGCACAAGGCAAGAAGTCTCCTTCATCCCTCATCACCTCCTACAGTTGCTGGGAGGTGGGAGGTAAAGATCCTGCATTCAGTAAGCAAGAATTGTGTGGGGGAAGCTGGGCTTGTATTTGCTGAACATACAAGATCTCTTTCTAAATTATAAGCTGTTCTCCCCCAAAACAACAAACCAGAGATGCCCCCTACTCTCACTAAATGCAAAATAAATGTTAGTAGACATTTTATTATTGTTGTTGTTATTTTAGTTCTCAGGTCAATTCACTGAAGAGCTTAAAAAGTGTTTAAATATTTGTGAAATAAGGATATTTTACACCTCAACAGAATTTGTTTGTGTATGTACTCAGTAAGCAAATATTAAAAATAAAATATTTTAAATTTTAATTGCAATATATTTCTTTTTAAAAAGCACAAATAATTTAAAATGTTTGTATATTTGTAAATCTTGATGTCTTGCCAAGGGCTCTAGGAAGTAAATGGAAACTGTTCGCCCTCTCACTCCAGGATCCCCATTCTGTACTCTAACCCACAGCCTCAAGTCACAGTTCCTATTCCAGCCCTCAGCCGGTGGCTTTAGTTCAGCCCTTACATGTGGTAGGCCTACTACCTCTTGGATTTCATAATTGCCTTATTACCTTGGGCCAGGCAGACATTCCATTTACGCTGTCTCAATATCATCACCATCCTTATCCCTGCCCCATTCAATACTGTCTGCCTTAACCATCTTTATCTGGGCTCCCTTCCCTCCTTAATCATATGGATACTTGCTTTTACTGGGACTTTCCATGCCGTTCTTGGAGTCCTTTCTCCTAGCCCATGTGGTTTTTTTTCTCCACACTAACCCATACTGGCATTCTCCTTCCTCCGCTTGGCAGTCTGTTTCCCGTGATTCTCCTGTCTTCAAAAGCCCGGGAACCTTCGCCATGCCTACCCCATTCTGCCCTGCCCAGGTATGGATAGTTTAATCAGCCAATCAAGCAGGTTTGTACAACAAGGATAGGTATATCTAGGCAACAATATACAAGCGTGAGCCCAACCCCCAACACACTCCCCACCCCCAAGCCTGCAGCTCTTGTACTTGCTTCTGACTGAGGGTTTGGAACGTGCGAACTGACAGAATGGCTTCTGAACATGGAAACGCCCATGCGTTTTCTCTTCATGTCAGTCTCCCCTCCTCTCCTCCTTAGCTGCCTACCTGCTCAGGGTGGGTATCACCCATGAGCCCAGAGCTAAGTGTGTCTCTTTCACGGTCTTTGAATATCCTGGTGCAGCACAGACTCAAGCACAAGCGGTGCAAACTGCTCTTCATATGCAAGAAATGATGAAATGAGACACATTTAAAACCTCAACGCGCAGATGCAACTCCAGCGCAGACGGAGAACTGCGGCGGAATGCGTCCTGGTTCTTACTCCTCTAGTGAATAGCTGTGTGACTTGAACACATCACTTCATCTCCGGGGCCCTCAGGACCCTCACTTTGAACAGAAGGGAGGAGAGGGAGGCAACGCAAGGGACAGATGAGTTTTCAGGTTTCTTCCAAAACAAATCCACTCCCAGCCTCTATGGTACTGAAGTTCTCTGGTTCCGTGGTTTACAGTAGGCCCTCAGAGCTCCCTCTCCTTGGCTAGTACTTTCCACACTAGCAGCTGAGTTTGCAAGAACTCAGAGGCTCAGTAGAAACAAGCGTTATCAGTTAATATTGATCTTAATTCAGAAAAGACGATTAAAAACAAAGCAATGCAAAGCCACACAATGGTTTCTTTCTCTTTAAAGGGAAACTGCCAAGGATGCAGAAGGCAATGAAGATGGTCAAAGATGAGGATGGGCCCTTCAACGCTGCTACGAAAAGCATTCCCTCCTTTCCTCACTGCCTCCAGCCCGAGGCTCCCGGAGGGAGGGCTCCCCAAAGACACCCCTTCCCGGAAACCCTTCGGGGCCCCTTCTCCCAGTTTCGGTATGAACCTTCTCCAGGAGACCTGGACGGATTCCCGGAGGTCTTCGAGGGAGGTGGGTCCCGGAAGCGGAAGAGCATGCCCACGAAGATGCCTTACCACCACGCCGCGGAGGAAGCCGCGGCTGCCGAGGAGAGCAAGAGCCTGGGCCCCCCGAACCTCGCTCTGCTCTTCCCGCAGCCGCAGCGCCCCAAGTGCGACTCCCAGATGATCGACCTGTGCAACGTGGGCCTGCAGTTCTACCGCAGCCTGGAGCCCCTCGGGGGCAAAGCCGTCAAGCAGGAGCCGCTGAAGCCCAGCGCCGTGTGGCCGCAGCCCGTGCCTCCCGCCTTCCTGCCCGCGCCCTACCCCTACTACCCCAAAGTCCCCCCGGGGCTCGTGTTCCCCTTCTTCGTGCCCTCGTCCTCGCCCTTCCCCTTCAGCAGGCACACCTTCCTGCCCAAGCAGCCCCCCGAGCCGCCGCTACCCCGGAAGGCCGAGCCCCTGGAGAGCGAGGAGGCCAAGCAGAAGGTGGAGAGGGTGGACGTGAACGTGCAGATCGACGACAGCTACTACGTGGACGTGGGCGGGGCCCAGAAGCGCTGGCAGTGCCCCACGTGCGACAAGTCCTACACGTCCAAGTACAACCTGGTGACGCACATCCTGGGCCACAGCGGGATCAAGCCGCACGCGTGCTCCCGCTGCGGGAAGCTCTTCAAGCAGCTCAGCCACCTGCACACCCACATGCTGACGCACCAGGGCACGCGGCCGCACAAGTGCCAGGTGTGCCACAAGGCCTTCACACAGACCAGCCACCTCAAGCGCCACATGATGCAGCACAGCGAGGTGAAGCCGCACAACTGCCGCGTGTGCGGTCGGGGCTTCGCCTACCCCAGCGAGCTCAAGGCCCACGAGGCCAAGCACGCGAGCGGACGCGAGAACATCTGCGTGGAGTGCGGCCTCGACTTCCCCACCCTGGCCCAGCTCAAGAGGCACCTCACGACGCACCGGGGCCCCATCCAGTACAGCTGCTCCGAGTGCGACAAGACCTTCCAGTACCCGAGCCAGCTGCAGAACCACATGATGAAGCACAAGGACATCCGGCCCCACATCTGCTCCGAGTGCGGCATGGAGTTCGTGCAGCCGCACCACCTCAAGCAGCACTCGCTCACCCACAAGGTATGCGGGAGCGGGACGGCAGCCGGGGCGGGGGGCTGCTGGGGCCCTGTGTTGCTCCTCACTAAAAGGCGAAGGAACTGGGTGACCCCCGCTAAGATGCTCGCCTTACCTGAACCCCGAGGCCCTTCCCCACCCCACAGAGCCAACAGTGGGCGATGTGCCAGTAGACAGTCAAGTAGGCCCTTTCCCAGAATAGCCTTAGAGTCTCAGGTGGGCCTGGAAATTACCAGTGCAGGCATTTGGAGAGGAGAGTGAGGAAGGATGAAGGAAACAGCTGGCTACTGTGAGATTTCTGCGAGGCCTCAAAGAAGCCCTGGAACTTTGTTTCTAGAAACTTCTTTTAGGGCACTGGTGGGGGGTGGGTCACGCAGGTCCTCCGACCTCAGAGCACCACCATGCCTGGGCTGTGCCAATGATAGCCGCCTTCTAGAGAATTCTCTAAGAGCTCTTTCCAGCTGAAGCAGGCTGTATTTCCGGGTTGTTGTCTGGCTCCGCTGTGAGACCTGCTTCCTTCAGGTAGCTAAATACTGAAGCAGAGTTTACCCTAGCTGCCCAGGGCCTCCTCCTCCCTGTCTGCATGGGCTCACTAGCCTGTGGTATCTGTGGGAAGCAGGAGGAAGTATCCTTCACCGCTTGGTTTTAATGTCTCTGGGCAGAGGTCTCCGTGGAGCAGTGAGGACCCAAAGCTCAAGTTTCTGTCTCACTTGTAGCTAGAGCTCTGGAGTTCATCACCTGAAGCAGGCAAGCAGGCCTAGTACCATCTTGAGTTCTTACTCTGGCAGGCCTTACTTAGTTCTTTGACTTACCAAGAGGGGCTTTTGTCCGCCCCCCCCCCCCCCCCCCCCCCCCCCCCCCACACAACTAACCTCTAGTCTCACCCTTGACTTCAGTGACTTTCTTGGCAAGAAAAACTTTTAGCAAACCAGAGGCTCTAAAGCATCTTTTATTTCCAAAGGTCATCACAGAACTGGCAGCTGAGGTAAGGCTGCAGCTCTGTTCTCGTGGGTTTCACTCACTGGGTTAGGACAAAACACACAGTCCTATCTGGATCTGAAGCAGAGAGGCACTTCCTGCTGGACAAAAGGCAGCTACAGACCCATCTGAGGGGAGCTGCCTGCCAGTGCAGGAACCATCGACAGATGACCTGGATTTAGGTTTGGCCACAAAGGCACCATTGGCTTCGTTCAAAGTATGTGGAAAAGGAGTCAAAGGTTATTGATTCTAGACCATATGGATTCTGCGAGGTAATAGGAAATGAAGTTCAAGTGGAGAAAACAGCCTATTGTCTGACATATGTTTTCTTCAAATCGGTAAGCAAAGCGTGTTTTCAGTAGAGACATGAGCAAACAAGGAGAGGTAGTGTTCACTCGATGCTTGCTTTGTGGTGGTTCATGACTCACCCGTACTGATTGTCGGAAGCTGGGATCTGCTTCCGACTGAAAGTGAAGACACCACGATACGAGGACGTCTCTCAGAACGCCAGCGCTAGCACCTGAGTCTTTTTTGTGCATGTGTGAGGATGTGTGCAGATGCCTACGTGTGTGGATGCAGACGCCAGAGGTCAACATCTGGTACCCACAGTTGCTCTCCACTTTATCTTTTTGAGCCAGGTTCCCTCACTGAACTAACTTCCTCAGCTGGCTAGAGAGCCGGGCATCTTCCCAGTTGGAGAATTACAGACACACCTGGGCTGTTTTTGTGAGCGCTATGAGAGCTTGCACCCCGGGCATTTTACCTACTAACTCCCTAGCCCCAACACTGAATTCTTTTGTTTGTTTGTTTTTGGGTTTTTGTTTTGTTTTGTTGTTTTTTTAAGACAGGGTTTCTCTGTATAGCCCTGGTTGTCCTGAAAATTCCTTTGAGGATCAGGCTGGCCTTGAACTCACAGAGATCCACATGCCTTTGCCTCTCGAGCACTGGGATTAAAGGCATGCCTGGCCAACATCGAATTCTTAAAGGCTGCATTATCAAGACTCCCCCTTCCATCTCCTGGCCCCTAAACAGCCTCACAGGATCCTTCTGTGTGGTTTCATTGGTCCCTTCAGAAAGGCAGTAGTTTCCTGTAAGCTCCAAGGTTGTGTCCAGCTCTTCTCTTGTCTTCTGTGCCAGCCCTTGTCTTGAGCCCTACTTTGGAGACAAAATTCTCTAAAGAATTTCCAGGACAGTGATAAATACCCTCTTCATAGTCTCAGGACAACTGGATCTTACCCAAGCCCAGAGAGAAATCTCCTTCTCTTGTCCCTACACTACATGTAGGCTCTGAGAATTGAACCTAGGGACTTAGGCATGCAAGCACACTGTGGCCCTGAGCTGTATGCAGCCTCACAGAACAGCTGGGCAGAAGGAAAAAACTGCTATAGTAAATTTGAAAGCCCACCAAGAAAATAATTGTTGTTGATTTTATGATTTTTTTTTATTTTATGATTTTTAAACACACTGAACATGTAAATTATTTACAAAATTCATCTTGGAGAGCATTAAAACCTAATTTTGAGAGAAAGTTGGTCTTTTTTAGTGACATAAATCCACCCTCATCTGCAGTCTGTTTAGAATAGAAAACCTCTGCACCAGAGAGAACTCAAGACCCTTTATCTGAGACAGGGCCTCACGTAGCTCAGACTGGTCTCAGACTTGCTTTTAGGCAGAGAGCGAGCTTGAGCTTCTGGTCCTCCTGCTTCCCAGGAGCTGGGTCACAGGTGTGTGCTCTGCACCTGTTTATGCGTGGCTGGGGCTCCAACCCAGGGCTTCATGTGTATAAGGCAACTACTTTACCAACTGAGTGATGTGCCCAGCCCCTGCCACTACATCTTGAGAAGACAGCTCTTCCCAAGGAAAGACCATAAGACCTGTTTCTTTAAGGTTTCGTAGTCGGTAAAGGGTTGAACAGAGACGTGAACCCACCTTTTAGTTGCTTTGAATTCACCAAAACTAAAGAGTACTAACCTCTTGCGACACCCCAACTTAAATAAGAGAGAATACAGCTAGAGAGAGCTAACTTGGAATCCCTCCTTCCTTATGGATACCTGACAGTGTGTCCTTTTAAGTTGTTAATTTGATAACTTGTTCTAATCCTCATTTTAGTGCCAAAGTTCTTTGATTCTTCCTTTTAAAGTCATTCTTGCCTGGAGCAGCAGCCCGCTTCTTTAGTCCCAGCTACCCAGGAGGCTGGGACGAGAGGACTTCTTCAGCCCAGGAATTCAACACTAGGCTCAGCAACATAGTGAAGCACTGTATCAAAGAGTCACTAGGGGGCTGAAGGGATGCTCAGTGGTCAAGAGCACTTGTTGCTCTTGCAGAGGACCTGAGTACATTAGCCAGCACCCATGTGGTGGTCCATAACCACCTGTAACTACAGTTCCAGGGGGGAGGATCTGGCTGCCTGTTTGGACCTCCTCAGCTACTAGGCATGTAGGTGGTATACATAATACATATACAGAAATATCTACCTACCTACATACATACATACATAACAAACAAGCATTTTTACACATAAAATAAATAAATCTGACATTGTTTTTCATCACTGTGGATGGAGACTTTTACCCAGGCCTTGTTCGGGAAGTGAAGGTTGTTGATATTAGCTTGCATTCTATGTGGGAGTCCCTGGAAAGCCATCAAGAAGTTGAGGGCATCGAGACCCAAGCATTTAAACATTGCTCCATAGTGAGGAAACTAGACAACCTTCTGTTCTAGTTTCCAATTTAGAAGGTTGTCCATGCTAAATTTCCACAACAGAAGCAGCAGGACTGTAGGAGGCTCCAGAGCTACGGCCCATGGGTCAGCATGGCCTGTGGAAACCAAGGAGACCAACTGAAGAGGGTGATTATCTAGTATAAGGAGACATTGGCTTCCTTCTGGGAAATGATAATATCAGCGTAGATTTTCTCATCATCGTGAAAGCCAGATTATGGACTCATTTCACATATCATTCTACAATGCTCTTACCAAAATCATATTAATCCTCTCATTCTGCAGTTGTAGAATTAACCCAGCTGCAGGGGAAACAACAGTGGCTTTCTACAAGAGTGGCTTTCTTTTCTTCTAGTGATCAGCTAGTTTATGGTATTCAAAAGAAAAAACAAAAGGTAGATTATGTAATCAACACTTCCAAGGAAATCACAACTTAAACATAGCCAAAGCTGTGTTTGGAACTTCTCCCAGCTTCTTGAGGATTTACGTGTCAAAGAGCAATAGCGCGGAACACTCCCGAAGGCCTGGCACACAGACACTCACTGTTTTGAATCTTGCCTCTGACAGGGTGTGAAGGAGCACAAGTGCGGAATCTGTGGGCGTGAGTTCACCCTGCTGGCCAACATGAAGAGACACGTGCTGATCCACACCAACATCCGTGCCTACCAGTGTCACCTCTGCTACAAGAGCTTCGTGCAGAAGCAAACCCTCAAGGCGCACATGATTGTCCACTCCGACGTGAAGCCTTTCAAATGCAAGGTGGGAAGAAGGGAGGGCTCAGGGGCTGTGCAAGTGTCCAACAGGCAAGACCTGCCCCGGGGAATCCTCTACTCCGTTTCTTCAGTGGTACAGCTGAGGCTCACAGTAGGTCTGCGGCCAAGTCCAAGTTGTACCCACCACCCTTTGGCTAAAGGTCAGATACTTAGATACTAGGCACGTAGGTGGTATACATACAAGCATCCATACACATAAAATGAATACATGTAATATAGTTTTTAAGTCCATGGATGGAGACCTTTTGCACAGGTCTTTTCTTCTCAAAGGATGGGCAGAAGAGAAGGTGGTACATGTACACAATGGAGGACTATTCAGCCATAAAAGGAACAAAACCCTGGATCTGTGTCAAACATGAACGGAGGCCATATTGGAGGACATTATGTTAAGTGAAATAAGCCAGGCACAGAGAGACAAATAATGTATGTCCGGGCTCATACATGAAAGCTGAGTTGACCTCATAGAAGGATTGCTGAGAACAGTGGTCACTAGGGTTTGGGAAGGGGAGGAGGAAGAGGAGACAGAGGTTAGTTAGGGTGCAGAAACATAGCTGAGGAGTGTGGTCTGGTGCTTCATACTTCAGCAAGGTGACTAGTCACTAAGACTTCCTTTAAAAACGAAGACTTTGAGCACCCGCAACATCAAGACAGTACTGGTGACCCTGATATGTTCAGCACACGTTTTACACATGAATCTAAATGTCATACTATACCCAGCATATATGAGTACATTCTATGTGCCAATTCAAAATATTCTGAAGAGTTGAGAAAAGGATCTTAAGCTAGCCCTCCAAAGGAGCCCAGAAATGCTTGTGTGGGATGTGGAGCAACTCTGAACTCAGCCTCTACCAGGATTTTTAATGTATAGCGAAGTACCACGTGACCCAGGCTCTAAGCATCCATTGTTAGGACCACCGTATCAAATTACTGTTCTTTTGGTTCATCCCATCAGCTGAGAGGTGTGTCAGCTAGAGATCTTAAAAGACCTCGGCTTTCCAAGGCTGCCCTCTTCAGGGCTGTTTCCAGGACAGTTGTGTAGGCCTACCTGGGTAGTTGGAGAATGTAGGTGTCATCTCAGGCAGGAAGAGAAAGCAGAGAGAGGAGTGAATACTGCGAACGGTGAAGTGTGTCTGGTGAACCTAAGTTTTCCTTTTCTGTTGCTGCGTGTTGTCTGGAGTGTGGGTGACTCTCTTTGCAAATCCATATCCCTACAATTGGATTCCTTCCTTCCAGGAGGGGTTGCTGCTTTAATCCCTTGGTAGTGTGCCACCCCCACCCCCATTTGAAGGAACCCCTGTGAAGTTGACTTTTTCCTGTGTTGGCAGCTTCTCGACAGGGTGAGGGGTCAGGAACCAGAGCTTCCCTAGGCCTTGTGGATGTTGTCTGGAGAGGGGCCTTTTCCCCCCATTCCTTTTCCTGCCATCACTTCTGTTTCCCCTTCTTTTCTCCCGGCTCTCAGTGGTTCGAAAGTCACAGGAGATCCATCTTGAGTGTGTGAGCTAAAGGAGGAGAAAGCAGTGTGTCAGATAGGGGCATTGCTGTGGAGGCCCAGTGTGGAATGGAAAGGCAAAGCTTCCTCACAGGTGGCGAGCAGTTTCAAGAGCAAATAAAGCATTAACTCAGATTCAGGAGCCTCTTGACAAAGAAGCCTGTGAGTGCCCCCGAGTCACTGGACGCCACAAGCACCTCTTCTCTCTCACATCAGACACCCCTCTACTTCCTTCTCACTCGTGGACCCCTCAGTGCCTCCCCATCGACAGTTGATCCCCCTGCAGAGATTTGCTGTCTCCTACAGCGGAGGTGCAGGCAGGTTCTCTTACGCTTGAACGTCAGCATGAATTGCATTAATTATCTTACCAAACTGCTGTGCTATAAAAGGGGCAGCCTCTTAGTTTATTCTCCAAAGAAATGTACACCTGCTTATTCCAGCCATCTTCCGTCTATAATGTATTTACTCTGATCCCTCAGTAGAAATATTATCTTGGAGGAGGCTCTGAGATGAAAGAGATACCATGCCGGAGATCTATATCATGCCAGAGATATAATCTTGGAGGGAGCCCCTGCGATAAAGAGATAGGTCATGGCAGACATTCTTTCTCGGGGGACTCCCTTGAAGTGGAAGGGTAGGTCAGAGCAGACATACAGTCTAAGGGGGGAGGGGAGAGCCCCTGAGGTAGAAGGGCAGGTCAGAGCAGACATACAGTCTGGGGGAGCCCCTGAGGTGGAGGGGTAGGCCAGAGCAGACATTACAGTCTGGGGGGAGTCCCTGAGATGGAAGGGTAGGTCAGCGAAAACATACAGTCTAAGGGGGGGACCCTAAGGTGGAGGTCAGGACAGAGCAGACATACAGTCTGGGGGAGCCCCTGAGCTGGAGGGGTAGGTCTGAGCAGACATACAGTCTGGGGGAGCCCCTGAGCTGGAGGTCAGGACAGAGCCGGTCTAAGCAGTGTGGGATCTGGGGACATTCCTGGGACAGTTCTGTTTCCCTACCCTCAAAGGCGTGCAAGATTTCTTGAGTCTGGTATATACGATCATCTAGAAAGTTCTCTGTAGTACCAGGGCACAAAAGTGCACAGAGTCCTGTACTCTGGGCCTAGTGCCTCAGTGAGCCATCCTAGATGGATGTTTTTTGGCCTCCATTCATAGACAATTATGTGCTTCTCCACCCCAATGACTGTGCAGCATACATGGTCCTAAGAATGGATAGTCAGCTGTGAGGCTCTGAAGCTCCATTTTATCTTTCCCGTAAGGCTTTCTTAGGCTCTCGATGTCTGGCCCGCATCACTAGATCCCATGAGAAAGTGAAATCCCAGCTTTGACCTGAGAGACAGTTTACCCTGCACACGGGGAACAAGAACTGGTGTGCTCACCCTCGTGGTGTTTAGACTCTCTCACAAGGCCAGAGCGCAGCGCTTCACCTAGAGAATGCTGTCTGTTTTCAGGCAGAGCAATTTGGAAGATAAAAGGCATTCCCATCAAACTTAGCTGGACCTTCTCCAACGCTTAGACATTTCTGAGATTAAAAACCCGTATAGGTCACCTTGAACGAGCCCTTTCATCCTGAATTTTCTGGAAGCATGATGTCAGGTCCTTTTCCTCCTCATTCCCACTTTCTTGTGGTGGCACCCTTCGAGCTAGCCTTTGGTACCATCACTCCTCATCATTTCAGAGGGTTCTCTCGGCCTGTGTGTGTTACGTGTCAAACAGGCTCCTTCGTGTGCTGACAGCTACAGGGTAGAGAGATCAGCAATGCCTGAGGCCCTGGTTCACATCTCAGAAGGGCAGGGCGGTCTTGAGATGTCCTCTGAACCTTGCTTCCTGTCCACATTGACCTGGATGGAAATCTGGTCCCGAGTGATAGCTGTAAGAGATTGGAAGGGTTAGACGAGAGAGGGAAGCCATTTGTTCATTGCTACACACTTCATAGCCAACTGCGACAGATGTCTGGCCAGCCACATAAGCGATAGTGGGAAACAAACCTTAGCAACTACACTCAGGTTTGATAGTCATAATAGATATAGTTATCCTCTTATGATTGACAGGGAGGGGAAAAAGGCAAGGCTTGCTGCAGCTGCGCTGCAGCAGTGAGCTAGCTCTACTGCCTTTCCCCCAAAATTTGTAACAAGAAAGATTCTTTTAATAACAGAATCTAATGTCCTGGGATTTTTGCCACTAAAATCCCCTCCCTTCAACATAAATCCTTCCTCTTATTGCAGTGTGGAATAGTTCTCAGTGGAAACAGCTGTCCCCGGTGAGAAGAAGTGTTCACTGACTGTAGAATTAAGCATTAACAATAAGATGGAAAATTAGTGGGGAGAGAAGTTTTCCATTCTGTGTTTCTTTCTTTCATATATATCTATATATAAATGACTGCCCTTCTGGACTCTTGCTATTGGCTCAACTTCTAGACTCCTTACTTCTGGGAGCCAGCTGGAGTTTGTCCAGAGACCCAGCCTGTAGACTTAAGCTATGTTTCACAAATATGCTTCCCAGATTCTGCGTAAGCACACAGATCTTGATTTGGATGCTATCCGTGTAGTGGCTGCACTCCTTAATAGCAAAGAACCAGCTGCCGTCTTTGGAAAAACCTGTCCAGGAAAAGCTTCCATCTAGAATTTCCGGGACAAATTCTCTTTTGAGATGGGTAAAGCCCAGAGCTGCCTAAGTTATGAATCACCCAGCCATCTACAGTCTTTTCTACAGCACAGGGCTGAGGGCTGGAGGCCTGTAAGAGGGGCAGAGGAGTGAGGTTGCCTTGAAAAGGGGGTTCTAAGTCCTCTAACCAAACTGATTGTCAGCCGTTTGCTGCACCAAAAGGAGAGAGAGCAGACTGGGCAATTTGTAGGGACTCAGTGCCCAGAGCCAGGGTGTTCAGGCTGGCATGGAGGGGGTTAAGGCAGTGACCAGATAGGAGCCTTTTGGCAGCAAAGCCCTCCTCCTGGGCAGAAGGAAGGATATAGCTGTATGAACTGCCTGTTTAACAATGCCTCGCATGTCCCCAGGGGCCCGCCTGCAAATAGATTTCATCTTGCTTTCTCTTGTACTTTTCAAAGCTTCCTGTTTTCTCACGGTCCTTTTGGACAGTTTACAGTCTCTCTCTCCCTCCCTCCCTCCCTCTCCCTTTGAGGAAAGGAACACCCTTCTTATTAAAGAGGAGAGAGGGAGAAGAATGTGAGGGAAGGGCAGTTGAGCTGAGGCCATTCTGTTGTGCTGGCTGAAGCTCTTTGACCTTTCGTCTCTGGATAGGAAAACATAGCTTCCTGGTGCATCTTGGCTCTGAAGCTCACCTCAGATACTTGTAGCCAGGTCCGGTACCGCTTGGCCTTCTGGGCCTCTGGAATTGGCCAAGTGGCGGCGACTGCCACCACTCCATCTCTGCCCACAGCTGACCTCTTTGTGGCAGCTGCTGCTGCTACCGCAAGGGCTGATGGGAAGCAAGCAATTCCAGGCCCTGTATCTCGGGGTAGTGAATGAGAAAGGCACCAG